CAGCAGCACCTTGGAAGATATTATTATTTATGTATGTATTTGGTTTTTATTGTATTTTTATACTATTTTTATCATATTTTAATTAATATGTATTTGTTGTTTTTATTGTAAACCGCCCAGTGTCACTTCCTCGTGAGATGAGCAGTGACCAATTTTGAAATATAAATAAATAAATATAAATGCTGGCGTAGCTGTACAAGAGATCTTTATCTGAATAAGACAGCAGCAACCAGTGATCTTCGCAGCATCTCTTTCTGTCACGTGTTCATTTAGCAACCATTTCACTTAACGATCTGATCGTTGCAATGGAACTCGGTTGCTAAATGAAGAGTGGATGCATTCCTTTTTAAGTTTTCATTTTTAGACAGCATGACAAATTCAGCTGAATTTGAATATGAAGAGAATTTGAATTGGAAGGATAGGATGTTGCATTATGGCAAGGCAAACTTAATTTGGTAGAATGTATCAACAATACAATATCGGGAGGGAACCCATCTGTATTACAGGGAACCAAACTGAAGTCCTGCTTCCCACTGTATCTATAGGTTATGTGTAGGCATGACTGAGGATTAGATTATGCATTTCAGAGTAGCATACAATTATTTCTCAGGACCTGAAACTGTACCCTGTAGAACCATCTGAGGCTGCTCCACAAAGACTCTCCTTGTTCACTGCGCAACAGTTAGAAAGGAACTCTTTCCCTCTCCCTCCACCAGGACCGACCTGTGCAATCCCTGAGATGACAGCTTTGTTCACAAGGCTCAGCCATGACCCTTCTGCACGTACAACTCCAGCTGACCACACCACACACCAATGATGAGCCCAGAAGTGCCCTGTAAAAGAAAGGCAAATAAAACAATAGATAAAAGCAAAAATAACTTCCCTTATGATATTAAGAAGTTCAGCCAAGGAGGAGATCTATGGTTTAGGGTAGCTGGTAAACCAGAGAATTTGGAATAAACAGGGAGATATAATTAAAGAGGAGGAATATATTATTCTCAGATTTGCTGTTACACCTCAGTACACGAATCAGCATTTCATATTCCTAATTACTCAAACACAGCTACTGTTCCCAAACCTCTTCTATTAAACACAGGGTGAGGAGAGAAATTTAGAAGTGGATTTGTGAAAGGACTGAGAGCTTGGTTCTGGCATGGAAAAGAAGACTCCTGGGATTGAGTATATGCCGGCAAAGTTCTGCTTCTTTAGACATGGTTCCAGTCTACTATTTGTCATCTGAGTCCAGTATGGAGGCCTTGGATTCCATTGAATAGGAAGCTGAGCCTACCAAGCTGCCCTCTCCTCACACAATTTACCCTAACTGATGTACACACACACACATACACAAAATGGTAAGAAGTAGGAGAGCAAGAGACAGAGAGGAAAACAGAAAGAAAAATAAGAAGCTAAGGAGCTGCAAGAATTGCCATTCCATTTTACGATATTCTTCTACAGATATAGAGTACACATGATGGAGCTTTCAGCAGAGCATAAGGAGCCTTGTGTGTTACAACTGAACATCTAGCGAATATAAAAACCAGGCTTCCCTTGATGGAAGCTTCTCCGCACCTACCACTCACCTGTTGGCTCAAACACCTCCTGTGCTGACACACTGTCTGCAAAGCCAATCAGGGTGAGATCATCATTTCCAGCTTCTGCAGAGCCAGGCTGCTTCCCTTCTGGCAAATCAGAAAGATCTGCTGTCCAGCCAGGTGCAGGATCAAACCGCAGCAGTTCTCGCTGCCCATGCAAGCTCCACTTGCTGCAGTTACAGAACGCACAGCGTTTGGGTGGGAGGCTGAAGAGGGCACGCAGAGAAGAAAAAGAGCTCATCACTGCAAAGGAATGAAAATCCCTCCGACTCCACAAGCAAGATAAACACCAAGCCTTCTCAAGAGGAGCCATCCTGTCAAAATATCTGTGGGATCCCAACAACCCCCATAGCACATAAATGCTCCAGACTTCTATTACCCTTGGTACAGCCATGTATACTCTCCTTCACATTCCATGCTATAGTGGCTATGAAGCTGGTACAAGCAAGGCCCTACATACCTCAAGTTGAACCTCTGGCATTCATCCAGGCTAATCTACCTCCTATGTTCAGAGTTAATCAATGAGCCAAAACTACGCTGTGTGCTTTTAAACAATTTCTCACCTGCAGGTCTGGAGCAGTTCCTCTTTAACATCCGCTGTATCCAATGCTTCTCTCACAAGGCCCTCTTCTGGCGGCTTCAGAGGATCAGCTTCCACATTGCCCTGCTCTTCTGAGGACACAATTCCATCTGCTGCTGCAAGAGGACATCTGTTAAGATCCTGGTGTGGCACCCTGGTATAAGACTCATCATTCCTGCCACATTGCCTGCTCTGTTTGAGGACGTCACAAAGCATATGGGGATCTTCCTCCAAACTGGCAAGTCTGTATCTATTTCAATATATCCTGACAAATAATGATGGGCATTTCCTTAGCTCCAAACTATGAATCCAGAGACTGAAAGTGGAGGATGTATAACATATAAATTACAGGAATCAGGATGCAGGACAGACTGAGTTGCACATTAGAAAAGGGGGGGAAAGGAAATTTAACAGCATTCCACCATACCCATAAGTTCTTTGCAGCCTGTTTTTCTTCTCCAAATTGCAAAAAAGAACAAAACTACATGGAAACCATGCTGACATGTGTAACAATGCAAAGCAGAAAAATTCTTCAGTTATCCTTTCATGAGGAAAGGATATGAGCCACTACCATTCCTGCCGAGCAGCAAAAGTCGAATAAAATACACCTTTACGAATTATTTCAACAAAGTACTGGAACCATCCCATAAGACAGCCTTCCCCAACCGGACAGCTTCTGGATGTATTGGGACTGCAACTCCCAACATCCTCATGCTTGTAGGAAACTGTGGGAGTTGCAGCCCCAGCATATTTGAAGGGCAGTAGGCTGGGGAAGGGTGTCATAACATGAAAAGCCCAAACTGTTCTTTTTTAGCTAGGGAAATGAGACCACAGAATCAGTAACATATATTGTTCTTTATATCATTCCATTCAATCCTATCTCATAGAAGCCCATTCCTCTCTCAAAGGTGAAAACTTAAGTCTTTCTGTCAATTAAGACTTTACCACCCTCAGTACTTCCCACGAAGAAGTCACTTAGCATGCTGAAATAAAGCCTCACAGTCTGCACAAAGCTTTGCTTGGAAATGAGGAGAAAGTGACTAAGATCAAAGGGCTACTTTTCACAGACTTGGAACATCTAAATCTTTTGACATTTTAGTTTTGAAAGAGAATCACTCAAAATTCTAACATGAAAAGCACCCATCTGTTAGAGACAATCTCAAGCTCATAGACACTGCCCAAAGCTCCTTTTCGCCATACTGGAACCTCCAAGAACATATTGCTGAAATTCAGCAGCAAGTTATCAAATAAAGCTGGATTTCTGGAATTTTCCAGTGGAAATTAAGGGAGAAATAAAGTATGCTAAACCTCTGATAAGCTGAATGCCCTTTGGAAAAAACAACAAATAGTAAATAGCCTAAACGACCTGCCCCTGTACTAAAGCATATTAAGAACCTACTCATCAGTACTGGACTGGAGATAAAACAAACTGAACTCTATTCATATGGCCAGGATGATCAGTATGACAAATAATTGAGAATAACTGTTATTCACCACTGTATACTCTTACCAAGGCTAAAGCATATACCATTTTCATCTGTTATTTTTTTCAGTGTTGAAGTATAAAACAGGTTGTTTATCTTCTTCGGCCTAAAACATGCCCCCCTCCCCCGGCGTCATCTCCCATCTATTTGGCTATGCTAGAAAGTGGATTACCTATAGTCCAAGAGATACATAAATGCGCCCTCTTCATAAGCACAAATTGTTGGTGACAGCAGAATAAGCCCAGCTATTAGTCAGAGTGAAGTAGTCACTTCTGTCAGACAGCAGATTCTGGCCCCATAGCCTACCCTATGCTCCCTAGACTAGCCTGCTGTCCTTAGGTATGGTACATGCTACTGCCACTTCACCAGTGGCGAAGAAAATTTCTGACTAGCCATTGTACATGGAATTTGAGAAGGATGTCATTTGTTCTGTAGTGACAGCTTGCATGTTTTGTAAACACTACTATCCACCCACCTTCACGCTGCATTACATAATATATCTGCCTAAAACTGCTCATCAATAGAAATGACCAAAATAGGCATACCTACCTGGTGTACCAGAGCATTTGTCCTCACGAGGTGGTTTCTGATCATCCATCCTGTCTCAAAGAGACCTAGAGAACAGAGAAAACAGCTCATTTCACTTTCTTTCACCAGTTCCATTAAAAAAGCTGCCCTTTTCTCTCTCAGCTTCTCAATTTCAAATTTATATTACATATTTTGCACTGCTATTGGACAGAGTGTTAATGGTGCAAGATGGATGTTTTCAATCATTTTTCTGTATACTGCGTTAATTGCTGAGAGTTGTTTGGTTGCAGTAAGCTACAAATACACACACACACACACACACACACACACACGACTATGTTAACACAGATACTTAGTTATATCTGTCACGTTTATAGCCACTTGTTTTCCATAATCTAGTCTACTATCTGAATGATGATGTGAGGATTCAAAAAAAGGACAGACATGAGCACTGGAGCTAGGGCAGCGTTCCTTGACCTAAAGTCTGTTAGATGTGATAACTACAACCCCCCTCATTCACTGCTATGCTAGCTGCGATGTTCAGGAGTCACAGTCCAATGCATCTAGAGGGTAACAAGTTGGGGAAGGCTGGGCAACAGCTTAGGCAGTGTAACAAAGAAAACAACACAACAAAAAGAAGGATCAGGGCACTGACCTCTCTACTATTGGAAACCCTAATCAATAACGCTCAAGCATGCCTGCATACACATTACCAAACTTTTCTACACAAAGGCAAGTAGAATCATATTGGAAATAAAGTAAACTGTGAATTTCTTCTGTAGACAAACTTGCAAGCAGATCCCAAACTGATGCAGCGAACTAGGGAACATACACTCACCCAGTCCCTAAAATACAGTACCAATTTCCAGGACTTTTGTGATTTTTTCCCCTAATAATTCAAAAGAAGCAAAGGTCTGTTCTGAACCAAAGAACAATTGAATCAGAGTTGCCAGGGATTAAGAACTATGTAAGAGAATGTTTTCCTTTTAATAATTAGGGCTTGCCCTAGTATGCAACTGTATTAGGTACAAATGCTGGACTACAAATACAGTACAGTTATTCTATCCTAATCAACATAAATATTAAGAAAATATCCCGCTCCCTTCAATATTCCTTATGGCAAAGTTTAATTTTGAATATTTATACTGAAAGAAAAACAACTAACTATCACAGTTTAGTATAAAGCAGCCTTCTCCAACCTGGGCACTCTTCAGTTGAAGTCCACACATCTGGAGGTGTTCAGGGTGGGGAAAACTGGTATAAAGTTTGGGATTTCTAGGCATAAGTAAGATCTTTATGCAACTAATTGTATTTATGGAATTTTGAATTTAGTGTTAAATTCTAAGCACTATGATAGTTTCATAGAGGTAATAAGCCCATTCTTAGTGTGCAGAGATTCTCAGCATTTTTAAAAATGTTATCTTAAATGTAATTGCAGGGTTTTGTATCAAGCATTAACACAAACATCCACTGTGTATAACACAGCATATTTAGTTTGATATTCTTGCTACTACATGTCAAATGCAAATGAAAACTTGACACTCTTGTAACCTTTGCTTTTAATATTACAACTTTTGGGCTTTTTAAAGCATATTATAAAGTCATATATAAATCAAATATTTTAAAAACTGCTACTGGAGAGAAATCTCATGCTCAAAGGATTGTCGGTGTTACAGAAAAATAAGTTCCCCCTCCTTTTCTTGACATTTAATTTATGAGCTCCTGCCATAAAAGTAGACTTCACAACTTCGTATTAAGTTCCTTGTATGAAAATGGTCATTCCACATTACTATGCAACCAACACAGAGACATGTAGAACTGTAAATTGTATCTTGACCCAAGCTCTAGGAAGATATTCCGTTTATTTATTTACTAAAAATCTCTATCTTGCCTTTCAGGATAAGACTCCCCATCCCCCCCAGCATTGGTTACCAGCAATGAATATGAGAAAAAAACAACCATAATTTTTTTAAAAAAACTTACCAAAAAAAATTTCTAGGAATCTTCCCAAAGGGCAGTTGATAATAATGGCCTTGTGGGGTGGGAGCAAACAGTCTAGCTAAAAGGCTTCTGAATGTAATTTATTGGAACTCTCTGGATTTTAAATAATATATATTTAATAATATATAGTGTTATAGTAATCCTATTAGATTCTGTTCAGCTTTCAGTACAAGGGCATGAGATAAATCCAAAATTATACAGAGATACTGTTTTCCAAAGCAGAAACTCAAAATTTTCAGAGCTAAAACTCCAAAATGCTAAACACACAATTACAACTGAAACAAGTTTAGATCACACTATTTCCACAAAAAGAAAAATCAAAGACAAATGACTGACAATGTTAAAAGGCAGAAGGTTCACCAGAAACATACAACATTCCATGTATGTTGGATTAAAACTCCTATAATCCCTAGCCAGTTCCAAATACATTCTGATATATATGAATGATAAACTAAAAAGTGGTGTCTGCATCTCTCAAATTAATGTCCCTTCAGTAAATAAGAATCATGCCTATTTGTTATGGCAAACAAGAAAGTGAATGTGGAAATGGATTCCATTTACCCTCTGATAGGTATGTTCACATAAATTACCTGAAAGTGACCTTCAGAGATCATCCTGCTGTTACTAGAACAGTTTGTTCAATGCACCATTTAAAGGTCTCATATAAAAAATTTGCAACATGCCTAAGTAAAGTCGTTTGTGGATTTCCTATTCCTATGCTCATCCTGATATCATAACTTAAACCAGGCCACAGTTTGTTAAACAAACCAGATTCAGTCTTGTAGAAAAGCAGTATATCTGATTTATTTTCCATTCTTCTAACATTTCAGGTTTGGGCAGGATACAAAAGCAAACTAGGATTAAACCAGGAAACCATAAACTGCATGTTATATTTACCCATCACCCAAACAAACTACAGTTGCAATCAGTAAGGCTACACCAAACAATAACTTACTATCCTAAAACAATCTGTGGTTTATTCACTAATTCTGTTCACACATCTTGTGAAATTACAAATCACAATATTTTTAAGTGAGTGGACACTTCTGGAATTTTGATAGCAATTCATGGGCATTCTCAGAAAATAACTGTCATGGAGAACACGGCCAATTACAATATATCCATTTACCAGAAAACAAACTGGTGAGATTACTCTCTGTTGGATTCAGTGGTCTCTTCTCCATCATTCCATCATTGTCCATCATTCTAAGCCTTCAAAATACAGTCTACCACCTTATCTTTGTTTGGGGGGGTGGGGAGATGGCCATGCTTCTAAAGAAAGCATTGGGCTACATTACAGCCACCCATCTTTTTTATTTTCTAAGAATGTTTAGGTCATTTAAATAAAGATGATGCTCAAAACTGGCACTTTGCTTTACAGCAATACTATTTCCCCATTTAATTGAATTAAAATAATTCAAATAAATAGATATATAAAATCAGATGGTACAGGAAGGCAAGGGAGGTAATGTTGAGCACATTGGTACTAAGTTAGGGACCCAAAAGCTATACCAAAAAGCAAACAGGCAACACAGATAGTAAGAACTTACTAATCCTTATTGCTTTAAAAATTCCCAAGATCTCTTTTAACAGCATAACATTAAACTGAATTTATGGAGAATGAAAATCTATTATTAAATTGTTCCCAAACATGACCAAGGCCACTGAATTTGTTCCACATTTTAACTCTTCTCTACTCTTCTCTAATTATTGCCTCTAACATAAATTCTGCAATCCCAACAAAGGAAGTTACCACAAGCAACTGGTCATTTTAGGACAGCCTCTACCCCTACCTGCAAGAGATAACAAATAGCAATCATTCATTGCCATAATCCAGGAAAGTGACACCTGCCTCACTACCATCTTTCATAGCAATGATTCCCAGTGGAAAAACTGGCTTATTAAGGGAACAGGAAGTGGCCCTCCAGGACTTCCCAGGTAGGCAAAGCTGTACAAGGTCCTTTGGCATTTATACAGACTGACCTCAAATAAAAAAATGCAGAAAGCAGCAGAAAACATCTCAGCTGAGGTTCTCCCAAGAAGAGTCAGGGCTGAGAAAGGGCAGGAGAGACAAAAGGCAGTCTGAAATCTATAGAAAAACCCAGGGATCTCTACTCCCTTGCTGCACCAGCAGGATGTCCACCACAGAATGGAGATCTGTGTAACGCATTAAGTCAAGGTAATTAGAGAAAAGACTAGAAATCAAATACTCTGAGGACCATCTCCAGCTATGCTATAGCCATTTTGATCTGACTATAAGAAAATGTGACAGACTCTAAGAATCAGTCCTCATCAGAAACCATGGCTCAGAAGACGCAATGAGATGTCTTGACAGTTCAACTGAGTTTTTGTCCTTACTGGATCATCCTTATTGGATCATCCTTATCAACCTCATTGGATCCTTAAGGGTCTCAACAGATAAGATGTCAGAGATATATGAAAGGGTAGGATTATAACTAAACAGTTGGTATTGTGTAATAGTTAAAGGCCCTGGGCTAGAAACCAGTAGACTGTGAGTTCTAGTCCTACCTTAGGCACAAAGCCAGCTGGGTGATGTTGGGCCAGACACTCACTTGCAGCACTAAGAAGGCAGCAATGGCAAACCACTTTTGAAAATACTGCTAAGAAAACTGCAGGGACTCCTCTATGTTGTTGCCAGGAGTCAAGACTGACTCAAAGGTGCATACACACACAGACAAAGGGACATACACACAAAAAGAATAAAAGTAGCTGTTTAAGTCGTGCAAATAGTAGGCAAAACACAAAAGTACTCTAATGACAAATAGTAGTACTGTGCAGAGATCTGTGAAAATGGCACTTGGGGACTGTGTAGGTGCACATGTAGCATCTGTCAGTAACATCTTAAAACAAATGTGACTTTTCCTGGGCTCATGAACTGCCTGACATGGGGCAAACAAGTGCCCATGTATACTAAGAATCACATTGGGTTCTTGAAATTCCAAACTGCACACAGCTCTACCAAACAGGATGAACAGTATAGAGAGGCCAATAAATTCAGGCAAGGCAAAGCATATACAGAGCTAACAGAGAGAAGGAAAGGAGGAGAGTACTAAGACCTGGAGAA